CGGACTTTTTACATGGGTTGTTTTTCATGATCAAATTCTTGATCTTTTTGTTTCTGTAATAAATCAAAAGTTGTATTCGGTCAGTTGCTGTTGTGCAGCTGATGTTATTTTGCACAATTGAATTAAGGACTCGTTCGTCAGTCTTATGACCGCTGTTCATTATATATAGAATAGAATGAATTATAATTAATTCATTAGAATGAATGAATTAATTAATCTTCTATAGAAATGCATACCCATAGTTTTTTCCAAATATTCTACATATAAATTGTACGTTTTAAACAAGTTCCAAACAAAATCATTGGAGACCATTTGCGAACTGAATCAATCAGCTTCAAATACAATTTTTAGTAACTTGAATGAGGCATTTGAATTCAATTTTTCCGTTCAATTTTACTTGGTTTAGGGACCCAGCAAATTTCATCAGTCCAATATATTTCAATGGGGACACTTTTCCATTTCAGCGATGGGCCGAGCAACCTGTCGATGGCCATGACTGTAAGGCCGAACTCGTCGGCTTTTCGGCAGTGACTCACTGCAGTCGCGTCCCTGGCTACGACGCCGTCGGTCAGAACTATGCCCTCCTTGGAGACGGTGGACCGATCAGCGTAAGCAATGCTTAATATTTTTATGCATACCGAGCGGGAGACGCAATTCAATTCATTAAAAATTTTTATATATTATACATGCATGATGTATATAAATATAGTCTATCATTCTAACTTAATGGTGATTACTTGCAGTCAGCGAATTGGCAGAAAGCAATTGATGAATGGATCGGCGAAGTCAAGGACGTCGTCGCCCCCGCCATGACCAGCAACGGAGGAGTCATTGGTCACTACACTCAGGTGACGGCAACCTCGTGTGTTAACTTCTGCTTTAAAGCCTTAGAATGGCTGGAAACCTTCTTTGTCTGTAACTTAACACCTCTTTTTTTCGGAATTTAGAAGATGATTGTTTCAAGGAAAATAATTCTGAGAGTTAGTTTGCCCGCGGTCTTTGATAATAATTTACATTATTATTACAACAAACTTATTAAAGAAGCATTCGGTTGAAATAAATTCATAGCGAAAATGTCTTCCGATGTCCGTTTCTTACTCCTTTTGCGTCTTCACATTAAGGTTGTGTGGCATGAGACTCGAGAAGTTGGCTGCGGAGTCTTCACCAATAACCAAAAGTGTGCTTGGATGGCCGGATGGAATGATTTCTACTGCATCAAGTACATCTGTAACTACGGACCCGCTGGCAACATGGTAGGCATGGACGGAAAACCTCTGCCTCCCTACAGCACCACTGCAGCCTGCAAGAAACCGTCCACCAACTACCCTGGACTCTGCGCCGAGTGACAAAAATGATCCATGAGTTTCAGTCAATGTTCTCGGAGTGGAAGTATCAATCAGATTTGTTGGCTCTGAAACATTTTTTACTATTTTATTTTAGTAAACATTTATCATTTTTATGTTAAATTTTTTAGACGTTTGCAAAGTAATTATATAGATTAGAATTTCGACGATTGCACTCCATTTGAGCGAGTGTTCGATTAGAACACGTGAAAAATGTAATTATGTTGATGTTTTTATTCCTAATACAAATTTGAAATGTTCAAAACTTCCTTGAAGCAAATCGCTTGATACAAAAAAGTAAACGTCCTGATCCTGAAGCAAAACATACCTGCTTTAGTTTCGCTCCAATTTATTTTCAAGCTCAGTATGAAATTTATCAAAATATCTTGCATGGCGTGAGTTTTTCACTTTTCACATCACTGTAGATCGTAATAGAACATTATATTACTGTAGTAAATATTTTTAGAATTTTATCGTCAGCAAATCGAATAAAAAAATGTTAGATGAGCTTCATCACGAGGCTCCATTGAGCAAAAGCCATCACCAATCATTGTTTTTCAGTCTAAAGTGCTGTACAGAGAAGACGCCTCGAAAGCGTGAGCGTTTGAATTTTGCGAAAGGCGACTATGATAAACTCCGTGAGGCAGTGGATGCAGTGAATATGTCGAACAGTATTAAGGATATGAATGTGGCTGAGTCATGGTCATTTCTCAAGGACACGTTTATGTCTTCCGTTGATGCGTGCATACCTAAAATTAAGCTTGGTGGAGCCAAAAAGACTCAGTGGATGAACAGTACAGTTCTAGCTAAGCTGAAAACAAAGAAGGAAGCCTACCAGCGTTATTTACAGACTCGTAGCGATGCTGACTATAACCTATACGCATGAGCTCGAAATCAAGCTAAAGAAAGCTGTCGCACCGCAGTAAAAACCCTCGAAAAAGTATTGCTAAAAATGCAAAAAGAACCCGAAAGCCTTCTTTTTGTACGCTAGCTCGAAGTGCAAGATGAAGGACGGTATTTCTGATTTGAAAGTAGATCAGCGGAAGATATCCTCTGATGAGGGCAAGGCTAACGTTCTTAATCAGTTTTTCAGTAGCGTATTCACTGAAGAGGACTTAAACAGTATTCCAGCTATAGAGGAGCGCCCAGTCGGCACTAAATTAACAAGTTTTGAAATACAAGAAGAAGAGGTTCTCAAGCGCCTTATCGCTCTAAATCCAAACAAGTCATGTGGACCAGACGGCTTCCACCAATGGGTCCTTATCAGACTGGGCTCCAGTGCGCAGCGGCGTGCCACAAGGAAGCGTTCTCGGGCCTGTTTTATTCGTTGCGTTTATAAACGATCTGCCAGAAGCTGTGTCTAGCGTGTGCTCGATGTATGCTGACGACACAAAAAATTATAATACAGTGAAGAATACGTCGCAAAAAGTACAGTTACAAGGTGATCTTGACAGGCTGGTTGACTGGGCTGATAAGTGGCAGCTGCGTTTTAAAGCTGACAAATGTAAAGTAATTCACCTTGTCATGAATAATGAACAGCAAGATTACAGTATGAGAAGACACGCTTGCAACGACAGAGTGATGATGTCGAAGTCGACAATGGAAAAAGATTTAGGAGTTAATATCGACAATGAGTTGAAATTTTCTAAGCATATTGAAGGTCAAGTTAATAAAGCCAATAAACGACTTGGACTGATCAGACGCTCTTTCGAGTTCCTAGATGCAGAAGCGATGAAGCAGTTGTTTGTTGCTGTCGTGCGCCCGAACCTAGAGTTGGAAACGTCGTGTGGTCACCGAAACTTTAAAAGGACAGAATTTTAATAGAGAGTGTTCAAAGACGTGCAACAAGGATAATTCCGGGCTTGAAAAGCAAGTCCTATGAGGAAAGATTATGAAGCTTCCAAGCCTCAGTTATCGACATCTGCGTGGGGAACTCATTGAAGCGTACAAGTATACTCATGGCTTATACAAGGTTCCAGAAGGATTACTAGAATTTGAAACAAGAACAAACACCAGGGGCCACAGCTATAAACTAAAAAAAACTACGTTGTAACACATCCATGCGACAACATTTCTTGATTTTCTTCTCGCTTCGAGTCACCGACATGCGGAACAACCTCCCTGATAGTATCGTTGACGCTCCGAGTATGAACGCCTTCAAGAACAGACTAGACGAAGCTATGCAGGAGCATATGTTCAGTCTTAAAATGCCTAGCAAATTACGGACCAGGCAATAAGTCCTGCAGCTATCTCAATCAATCGTCAGTTATGGAAAGATCGAGTTCCAAAGGCCGGATCCCTTGTGAATCAAGTCACGAAAAATTCAAGAATCGGCAACAGGCCATGGGCATATTTCTTCAGTGCCGACATTTCTATTCTATTCTATTCTAAAATGAAATTTGACACTCCCCGGTCATCTGATAGATACCTCCAGAGAGAGATATCTGAAGAATAATCACGAATATAAATTGAAGATAATTAATCAGAAAACTTATGCGTTCTAATAATTTCAAGGACTGCTTATTGAGCATAATAATGAATATCAAAAGCAAATCTTCACCATGCATTGATGTTCTGTGCCAGTGAGACCAACACGTTCTAAATAAACTAGAAACTTTCTAAAACTAAGGATTAGGGGATGCTCGAAAAGACATTTAAGAGGTATGAAAAATCTACATTGAACTTAAACTTGAAAGTCTTTAGCAATTGTTCAATGAAGCATTAGAAACGAATGCCAGACAATTATTATGCACAGCACAAGTCATTGCAAAATTTACGATGACTTATACTGCCTAAAATACCTGGACAGGTAAATCAATATAACAGGGCGACAAAAAAATGTACGGATCATGAGGAACTTGCGTAACCGATAAAAGGAAGGAGAACCGTATGTTTATTCCTTATTCACGTTATGTATATTTTTTGCCTTATTGAGATTTTTACCTTGCCGTTTTGTTATCTGGAAAGCGACTTAAATTGGATTGTAGTGCATAAAATTTTGGTTTACATGCACCCTACTCAGAGACAGCGACTGAAAAAGAGTACAGTTATTTGCTCGTGGCTTTGATTTATGCAAACAAATCAACGCGCCATATCCCCACATTCTGCTTGAAAACAATTCATTAATTGTTACTGAAAAACAGGATCGGCACAAATAAATTATGATTGTAACTTCAGCGTCTATTGGGAAAAGTTTGGTAAAATTTTAGTGTTCGTTTCCAATGAAGCGCAAAAAATCAAATGTTTTGCAAAAATATTCCATATTCTGAACGTTTCTTTTGCTAGGCCTCTCATGATTCATGGGACAAACCACTTGAATAAACTGTGCAAGGTCCGACGTTGTCTCGTTCGCTTTGACAGCCCATGAACTTCAAACAATGTTCGTCGTCACAGGTGATACCAAGTAAATACTTGAGCAATTATTCTTCGTCAAAAAAGCCGGTAAAAAATTATTTCTTTGATACCTCGGTGCGGCATAGAGGCTTCTAGAAAAATTTATTCAATAAAATCGTCTTGACAATAAGAGATTTGTTTCATTACATCTCTATGGACTTATGAACAATATTTTCATATAAAAATCAGACTCCAAATTAAATATCGTTTTAAAAAGATTCAATATCATGGTTTTCTCTAATTGCTCTTGATTCGATTGTAGTCGTAACTTTTATTGTTATAGGGTAACATGGGGCGGCGAGCCCACTGCGGGTCATGGGCCCAGAGCGGGTTTCTCGCTAAGTATGGCAGATATTGGTCCGTGTTCTCTACCGCCGGTCGACAGTCTCACTGGGATGAAGTGTACGGATTTACGTTTTGCTAAGTGTTTGCGTTATTAAGTTATTTGTGAATAACTGTTTTAGCCCAGATAAAAATTTTTTGCTGCTAAATAAAACTGTTTTCGATTACTGTAGATGAAGCTTATGAAATTACTGTGAATTATATTTTGAAAGTAATATTTGTAGGGATAATTTGAGATCAAGTTTAGACTATTATAGCTTTTAAAATAAAATGTTGACACGATATAAATTGAACTGATACCTAGTGGGGCAACGGGCCCACGCGTGTCACGGGGCAAAGCGCCCATGGTGAAGTCTTGTGTTATACATCATTAGAGTTATCTCAATGACCTTTTCAAAACTATGTCTAGCTTTTGAATTACAAATTACACTTCATATTGCATGATTTCTTGATTTGCCGCCTCAAGGCAGCAGGTTTAGTTCCTAGTCATGCGTATTTATGACCCCTTATCGAGTTTTTGACTCTTGCCTTGCCAAAAGTTTATTTCAGTCAACACCAATGAGCCAAAAGTTGATGAGTTTTTATGATGTTGGCTGAAATCACGATTAGGTACGAATTCTCTGCACATAATATCTGGATTATTGACGAAACTGGAACGAAGTTTTTTTTCTGATCAACTAAATATAATTTTTCATGTCAAGGACGAATTTTTTACGCAAGGATATATTTTTCAAGTCAAGGATATATATTTTTATGTCAATGAAATATTT